CTAAGTATACAAAACTTATCACTCTTAGGTTTGAGTACTTGGTGAAGTTGAATTTTATATGTGTTGGAATAGAAGGATTATGTATTGATATGAAGTTCAAAAAAGATGGAGAATAAATTGTTTCGTTGAATTATGAAGTCAGTTTTGCATTGTGTATTGATATGTTAATTGTTATTTGTTAATTTTTAAGGTTACAATATGTATTTATTGTACATTTCTTGCTAATTGTATAAGCCTTCTTTAGTACTTAGCCTAATATATGATATGGACTTTTGTGCATTGATTAAGGAGATTTGATTTTGATATATTGTTTACTTTGACTATATATTTTTATCAGGTGTTGTACAAAAAATTAGTATTAATTTTGGAGAGGAATTTAAAAAAAAATTCTAAATTTTTTTGACGGAATTTATTTTCCGTCGAAAATCTTTATATTAGTTTTCGACAGAAATTCATTGATTTTCCGTTTAAAGTTTTGATGGAATCTGTTTTTCGTTGAAAGTCATTACAACAATTTTGGACCAATTTTTTTTTCTCGGAAATCTTTACATCAATTTTTGACAAAATTCATTGATTTTTCGTCAAAAGATTGGACAGAATCTGTTTTCCGTCAAAACTCTCGACAGAAACCGTTTTCTGTCGAAAACCATTTCTACAATTTTCGACGAAATTTCATTGATTTTTCGTTGAAAATTTTCGACGGCATTTCTTTTTCGTCGAAAACTTTTACATCAATTTTCAATGGAAATTCATTAATTTTTCTTCGAAAAACATTTCAACAATTTTCGACGGAACTAAATTCTGTCAAAAAAATTTAAGAAAAATAAATTCTGTTGAAATTTTTTTACGAAAAAAAAATCGCCGACCTAAATTTCGTAAAAAAAATGGACTTTTCTAATAGTGGTCCACCTTGTATTTATTTAATTCCACTAGAAAGTGGGAGGCAATGAGGATTGAACTCGTGACCTCGTGGTTAGTAAAGCTTTGACACCATGTAAAGAACTATTGCAACTCAAAACCTACCATGTTAAGAATCACTTCACCCCAACACCTTAAGGTTTTGGGTTGAAGTGATTCTATAAATTATTTTCATATTTTTATGTATAAATCTATATATTTTAATCTTTTTAATAATTGATTAATAAACTATTTTCATATTTATTATTAAAAAAAAGGAAAGGATATTATAACAACCATTTAGTATTACTACCAATATTACTACCAATTAATTTCACCGTTAGATCGATTATGTTGATCCAACGGTTATATTTATTTCCATCTTTGTATAGTTTATATTTATTTTCACCTTTGTATAGTTATGATTTCCCATATTTAATGCGCTCACATTAAATATGAGAAATTAATAACCATACAAATATGGAAATAAATATAACTATTAGATCAACATAATCGGTCTAATGGTAAAATTGATTGGTAGTAACATTGGTAGTAACACTAATTGATTGTTACAATATCCTATCCCTTAAAAAAATTAGTTATTATTTTTGGGATAGTATATTGTAACAACCAATTAGTGTTACTACCAATCAATTTCACCGTTAGACCGATTATGTTGATCCAACGATTACATTTATTTTCATCTTTGTATGGTTATGATTTCTCATATTTAACATTAAATATGGGAAATCATAACCATTAACATTAAATATGGAAAATCATAACCATACAAAGGTGAAAATAAATATAAAATATTAAATACGGTGAATCATAATCATACTAAGATGAAAATAAATATAACCGTTGGATCGACATAATCGATCTAACGGTGAAATTGATTGGTAGTAACACTAGTTGGTTGTTACAATATCCTTCCCCATTATTTTTTACAAACAAAATTTTGGGCATTGAAATAAGGGAAATGTTATACTTACCTGATCACACCAATCCACGATGGGATGAGCCAAATCATACACGGTTGAAGGTTGGAGACTTTGGGCAAAGGGTCGTAATAATGGGCTTGAGATGATTTTTGTATGTTTAAGAGCCGTTGAATGATTCTGGCACAATGGAAAAGACTAGGTGAGGTACCTGCAAAGACACTTCGACGTTCATGTCAGTATCAATGTCAGGTTTATATTATAGTAAATTGGAATCAGATGATCATACCTGAGTTTGTAAACTTCATATTTGTAGCAAGCTTTGTGTCGCCTTTTGTAGGCGGCATACCTTCTTATTGGTTGTTGTGGGCTGCTGCCTTTCTGTTTCAGTTGGTGTCTTTGTGGCTATTTCCTTGGTAAACAAGACTATATAATAGCCTATCTTCTTAGAGTGGTGGCAAGCTTGGGTTGTCTTCCATGTGTTGGTCTTTGAGTGTGGTGGAACTCAACTTGTTTCTAGGACTTTCCTTAGTCTTTAAGTTATACAAGGTGACTTATCTTGATAATCTGCGCAATGCTTAGTGTGTGTATTTTGCGTAATGGGATCATTGCACTTTTTTGGGCCCTTTCTGGATTCCAAACCTTATGGGTTTATATATTATCCCGTCATTACCTTTATTTTAAGTTTACCACTCTTATCACCTCATTGTTATTATTGAATCAATTTAAAATTAATAGTTGAAAAAGAGAAAACAATAATTATCGTTGATTTTAAATTGATCCAGCGATAATAAGAGTAATAAATCTAAAACCATGGTAAATATAAACCGCCTCTTTAAATAAAGCCAAAAGTTTCAGTTAAAGATTCTTATTTTGGTTAGTAATGTTTCTCGGGATTGTTTTCCTCAATTTTGTTTTCCTCAACCAGTTTATACTGGACCGAGCAGCATACACTGAAATGTCACCCGTACTTGCTTTAATTCAGTTTCTGTTCACGAGGGACGGATATTAAAATTGTAATATTCACATTGCATTTTTTTTGGTAAAGTATATTCACATTGCTTTATGTAGTTTAAGAAACGGTATAAAGTTTTAATTTTTTATTATTTACTAAATTAAGTTATAATATTTTGTTTAGAGTTTAAAATTTCTAAAGTTACTTTAAATAATTTTGTCAATTTATCAAAATATATACATAAAAATGTGTGAGGATCATATTTTATTTTTCTCTATCCTCTTTTCACATGGGTCTACATGGACCCCACAAATTTTTATGTGTGTATTTTAGTAACATTAGATAAAATTATCTAAAGTAACTTTATAAACTTAAAACTCAATATAAATAGAAAAAATAATAATTTCTTTGTCTTTAATTTTTAAATTTCATTACAAACGAAATAATACACAATACAAATTGTATAATATATTTTATCAAATTTTTATAACCACAATATTTACATTTATATATTAATTATCAAAAAGTTAATAATATTATAAATATATATTATAATTCAACTACTTATACTATACACCATTTTATTTTTATTGTTTGTCAATTTACATCAAAACATTCTTATGCAGTAATCAAAATATAAATTCTTATTCACCAAAAAAAAAAAAAAATCTAAATTCTTTCTCACGTGGTTCGATCTCTTAATGTATAAACTTTTTATCACTTTTATTGTTATCATATCATTTTCAAACATGAAATAATACGGTAAAAAAAATTTAAAGTAAAACTAGAATAACGGAACTATTCTCTTAACTTAATAATTTCTCAAAAATATATTTTTATCATTGTCAATTTAAAAAATATATATACGAACATTAAATAAAATTTCAACACGTCATTATTTATTTCCATGTAAGTTAATAAAGCCAAACGTATATGTTGCAATTTCGACACGTGTTATTTTGGGGGGTTTGCATATCAAATATGTTATTTTGATATTTGTTTTTAAATTGTATTAGTTTGGTCAGTTACGTTTTCGACATTTTTTACTTCAACCTCTCTACTGCCATTCCGAGTATGCCAATGGCATCCTGTTTGGTAGTATTCGACATTTTTTTGTCTTCACTTGTAATTATTTATTTTTTTTTTTTTTACAATTTAATGTGCTAAATTTAATTTTCCGCCGCTAGTTAATACAAATCACATATTACGTATATGGTAATTTTTTAAAATTAATTAAATAGAGCACGGACTGCAAATTGTATTTCTTATCCTATATTTTCCACTGTTCAAAATCATAATTTTATAGCATTTTGACCATTGTTTTTGGGTTTTGGTGTTTGTTATTTTAAATGACATAAATTATGTCATTTTAAGAGAGAAATAGACACAAAGAATGAAAATCATGGGAGAGAAAGTGAGTGATTTTTTTTAATTTAAACACTTTTGATATGACATAACTTTATATCGTTTAAAATGATAAACACTTTTTTCATTATTTTTTCTATATTGTTTGCAGTATGCACAAACTCCTAACTTTTCTTGTAGGGTTTTGTGTTTGTTATTTTAAATGACATAAGTTATGTCATTTTAGGAGAGAGAAAAGACACAAAAAGTGAAAATTATGAGAGAGAAAAAGTGGGTGGTTTTTTTAATTTAAAATTTAAATAAAAAAATTTATTTTATGTCTATCTCTCTCTTAAAATGATATAACTTTATGTCATTTAAAATAACAAACACTCTTTCCTTTCTTTTATCACGTTAATCGAAACAATCCTCATTAGGCAAAAAAATAAATATTCAATGTAAGTTTTACGTGGAGAATTTTCTTCAGTAATATAATGCTTATGTTCAAATTCAAATCCCTGATTCAGAATTAGTACTATGACCGTTTCAAAAAGTTAAAATTTATGAAAATATCCAACACTATTCGTTTTGAAGAAATAATTAATGTCAGTATAAAAAAAATCATTTAAAGTAAATTATGTTGTAGCTGAATGATAATTATGATTTAATTGACAAGTTAAACTCAAATAGATGCATATTGAACACTTTTTAACTAAGATTACGTCGATACATATACAAAGTGATTGTACAATTTTTTTTTTTTTTTTTTTTGTGTGGCCTCTGTTAAAATGTTATATGGGTTTTTAGGCCCGTTTATAGATGAAACCCTAAATGAACCCTTACTCCTTACTAGTTCTGAAGCAATTTGCAGTGGATTGATTACTTAGGTTGCGGCAAAGAACTGTGTTGAAGAATCTCTTTCGCATGCCTGCAACTCTACCGAGTAACAAAGCAAACTTTACCCTCTTCGCTTTCACCCCTCGCCAAGTTTTGTTAAACAACCAAGCCATGAAGCACAACGCTGACAATGGAACCCGTAACTTGAAACGTGAACAGATGCTTCTTCTTCACCAATCCATTGCTCATTACTTGGAACGCAGTGGGTTCTCCAAGACCCTAAAAAAATTCCGTTCTGAAGCGCAAATTGAGGTTGGCTACTACTTCATAGTCATGCGTTTAATTTGGGCATAGCTCACTTGAAACTTGATTATGTTCACAACTTTAAGTTATATATAGGTTATTGCACAATAATAATGCAGCATTAGGGAATAGTTTTTCACTGTTTTTTCAGCTCTCAAATTTTTTCTTCTTCTGCAGTTTGTGAAATTATGTATTAAGGTTGTTGTCGTGTCTTGTCAAATCCTTTGTTTCAAATTTTTGAACCAAATTGAGAAAGAAAGCTTCTTGCTTGGACAACGACATTGCGTTTAGAAATTATGTACATACATAGCGAAAGGAGCGCTGTATGCTATGCTGTGACGTGTAGGCTAGAATTCCTCATTGCCCCATATTTATGTTTTCCTTCACACTGTTGTTGAGTAACAGATGAGACTGGCTTTTCCTTCTGTTGTTTTACATTGTTGCTCCTGCTTGTGATGCAGAAAGATGGTTTGGAGGGTTCCTCTGTTGATCTTGAAGAGATGTGCCTCAAGTATTTAGAAATATGGTAAGACTACAAACATTAGCCTTGTGTTGTTAAGTAGCTATTTGCTCCAAGCTGTCAAGATTATGGAGAAATAATTTGATTATGATAATTGTTTTTCTTGGACCAGAAATATAAATAAAAAAAAGGAGATGCCATTTTGATATTCTCTTATAATAGGCACTCTTATGAAGCAAATTTTAAGTGTGGCTTGCAACATTCTTAAAAAGTCTTTTGGGGAAGTAGTGAGCAGTGATTTTTCTATTGATTTTAATGGGATTATCTTCTGGAATATTGCCTTTTTTAATGAATAAATTAAGAGAAAAAGTATAACTGTGGTGAGGTCAAATATCCTCCAAAACAGAAAAAGTAAAAGAAAACATAGAGCTAAACTGCCAATGAAAACTCTGTACAATATCTGTGCTGATTACTTATCAGAATGAAACCCCCTGAAAACAACTATGTCTAAAGCACCAGAGAGAAACCATAAAACTAATCATATCCCTTGTGTCGGGGTAAAGAGATTTTCCTGAAGGTGCTGGCATTCTGCTCCATTCAAATACACTGCTGAATCCTATAAACTGCACACTTCCTCGTTTTTGTCATCATTCTTGTAAAAACCCTCACAACATACCTTGCAAAACTGTTCCTAATTTCTAATGTGAAAAGACATTGTTTAACTAGCCCTTGTCAGATGTTGCCCGGGATCCATGTCTCAACAACAGTAATTACTAGTTAGAAAGGCCGAACCAATAATTGAAAGAGGCAATGCCATTTCTCTATTTTCTGCTGCACCAGTTACTCTCTGTACATGAGTGATGTTATGGATCTTTAAGTGTCATTCTTGTTTATTTGTTACTTAAGCTTTTCCTTCTTGTTTTTCATCTCTTTTCAGTGGCAAGGATGCTAAGTCAAATATCAATGGTCAAAAGGAGCAGGGTATGCTTTAAAATCCTTGAAAACTTCTCTTTGTCTTGTATCATGGTTACTCAACCTGCTTGCATATCTCATTCTATTACTTCCTGAGCCGTGGCCATTAACTCTTTATATTGTCTTTTCTACTACCTTTTTATAAGCATACTCCACCATGCTTATATTGTCTTTATAAGCATGGTGGAGGGTTAGACCCGTTGTTATTCCTATGTTCCAGATAATCCCTTTTTAGTCCTTTTCCTCTTTATTTCCCCCTCTTCTTCTTTTTCCCTACTTTTATATTTAAATATATATATATATATATTATTACTATTTTATTTATTTATTTTTATTTTTTATCTTTTTTCAACCTTTTCGTATCTTTTATTTGGGTTCATCTACCACCGACCTCAATTAATTTGGTATAAAAGTGTAGTTGATGTTGATTGTATTAATTTGGTATAAAGGTGTAGTTGATGTTGATGTTGATTGTCTTTTCTACTACCTGCTAGTTGCAGGTGTGCACTCTGAAAACAAAGAGGGTAAATCCAAGGAAAAGAAGAAAAAGAAAAGCAAGTTAGTTTCTGAATCTCTCGCTAATAATGTGGAAGATAACCAGTTGGAGTCACCAACTATGGTTACAGAAAATAATGTAAAGGATGGTGGATCTATAGATGCCAAAGTTATTAATGGTGTTGAGACAGAGAAGAGATCCAAGAAAAAGAAAAAGAAAGACAAGGCAAGTAGTCTAGGGGACACTACAGAGCAGAGTGGAGATCCCAAAGAAACTGATTCTAAAAAAGAGAATCTCAAATCTTCAAACAAAGAAGTGACATACGAGGAGAAGAAAGATTCTAAGAAAAGAAAAAGATCAATTCCTGAAGAAAATGGTAAGCAGGTTTCAGACACAAAGGTAGATGAGGAACCCAAACGCAGAAAAACAGAAAATTTGAATGAATCTAAGGGAGGAGAGCAGTCTGGAAAAACAAATGCAAACCTGGGAAGTGATTTGAATTCTAATAAAGAAAATATTGCAGTATGTAGTCAAGTTGGTGGTGACCAGTTACAGAAGGCATCTAACGAGAAAACTAATGTGAAAACAAATGGGGACCTTGAGAATGCTGGAGAGAAATATTCTGTGCAGAGGTCTCAGAAGAAACAACAAAAGGGATCAGTTGAGGTGTGCCTTAACAAATAGTTTTTCTTTGAACGTGTTCTTGGTTAATAGATAAAGCGCTCTGAAATCAGATCACGTAGAGCCTATTTGGCACATCTTTTTTTTTTAAGCTAAAGTTAAAAAGAGTTTAAAAAATAAAGCTCAAAGCTGTTTAGTTATTATATAACGTTGTTCTAATGGTTTTGAAAGAGGGAAGATGAAATAATTTGTTATTATGATTGATTATTAGGATAAAGAGTAAAATTAGTTAATACAAATTTAGAGTAAGAGTGAAATTGAAAAATAAATATGAGAACTCTAAAAAGCTATTATGTTACTTAAAGAAGCTCCTCTTGGGAGCTTCTAGCTTTTGCTTTTTTTATTCATTATAACAAAATGCTCTTTTTATAATAAGAGTTTTTGTAAGAGCGTGTTTGGCTAAGCTTCTTCTTCTAAGGTGAAGAGAAGCTAAAAATAAGACTTCCTAAACAGGCACTTAATCTTTCATGCTTGTTTCTTCTATTTTAGATAGAATCAAACTTTTTTATTTTTTGCCCACTCGTCTCGGCCAATGTGATTGGTTTGAGTTGAGTTAGCCTCTAACATTGCTTTCAAGGAAAGTATGTTCTTTATAGTGAATTAGAGCATCAACCAATGCTATGAATACTTGAGTAGAGTCTAAAACTTAGGTAATGTTCCAGGTTATGGTGTTTGCTGGTGTCCCTTGAAATGAAATAGTTGACTCTCATAATTTCCTATATGTTTGTCTTGATTTCATAGTTCTTTCCTTCTCCCATATCTACATCTGTCTGTTCTTCTTTTTGGGCTGTTTGTACTGCTTATTTTTATCTGTCTTCTCTCATTCTTTGTCTATGATTAGGTTATTTCTTCAATAATTTTGGATTTGTAGTCATATGAATTTAAGATTTCAATTTTACTACTGAAGCTAAGATTTATGGTGAAATTCTTGTCTGTGATTGCAGCAAAAATCAGTGAAGGCATTCCAGCGAGTAAAAGTGGACGAATTTGCTCATGAGAAGCTTCTAGATAACTCTTATTGGGCAAAGGTGTGATAAATTGATTGTATTTCCATGCATTTAGTGGTGTTATGTGTCCATGTTGCATTCTTTAACAAATATGTATTGCTGTATCTGTATGCAGGATGGTGCTGAGAGTGGTTATGGTGCAAAAGCAGAAGAAATTCTTAGCCAAGTTAGAGGAAGGTCTGTTATTTCATATGGGTAGTGGACGTAATTTTACTTTCCAATATTTGCACTTGTATGAACTTTGTGTTTTGTGCTTCTGTAATTTTTTGTTTGGTGAATTTAGCATTGCAAGATTAGTGTTTTTATGAACAGGCTATAAATTAGTCATGCAGTTGGTTGCATTAATTTTTTTATTTTTATGTTTTGTCTGGTGAATCTTGCAATGGTAAATCTGTTGTTTAATGGTGAATTGGAGTTAGTTTAACTTTTCTTAAATTTTCATGTTATGCGTTATGTATAGTTGGAGCTTTCATTCATTTTTTAAACTCTTTTTATGCCTCACTCTGTATAATTGTTTAAAATATGCTCAATCATGGTAATGCGCACAATTTATTTGATATACACCTTTTAGAGTAAATACCCTTTTTGGTCCTCAGCAAATTTCACGATGTCCGCTTTAGTCCCTGACAAATAAAAAGGCTCATTGTGGTCCCTAAGAAATTCAAAATGGACCCATTTAGTTGAAATCGTAGTCCCTCACAAATTCAAAACAGAGCCATATTAGTCCCTAAAAGGACTAAAATGGGTCCATTTTAAATTTCTTAGGGACCACGATGGGCCTTTTTATTTGCTAGGGACTAAAACGGGCGTCATGAAATTTGCTGAAGACCAAAAAAGGTATTTACTCCATTTATCACTGCCTTTTTTTTTTTTTGGTGACATTGAATCTCTCTCTCTCTCTCATACAGGGATTTTCGTCATGAGAAGACCAAGAAGAAACGTGGGACCTATCGAGGTGGACAGATTGATTTACAATCCCACTCAATAAAGTTTAATTATTCTGATGATGACTGACTGGGAAGCATCGAGATTTTTTTGTTTTTTGGATCAAGGAAAATTCCTTTCAATGTTTGCTACTGGAGCACTTTGCTAAAGCCGGTGTTGCCATGATAATTTTCTTAATTATGTTGTACTGAAATAATATTATTCATTTGGACAACCTCGATATTTCAATGATTTTACTGATCACCTTGTGCTGCTTAATGCTTTTAATGTTGCATCTAGTAAAACAAAGTACCTGGATTCTGAGGTGGGGTAATTTGCAATGTTAAGTGCTTCTGCATCTGTTATTGCAGACTGTCTGGTCTGTTGTAGTGGAGGAGCTTAGCAGCTGCCGGATGCATGGGAGCATTTGTTATGATGCTACCACCAACTATTAAGAACCTTGAGGTCACCACCCCAAAAGCTAGCTCAAAGGGTGGGAGTGCCCAAGGCTTTATAAAGGCCATATTAGTTGCCCACACAATCAATATGGGACTATATATCTCAACACACCCCCTTACGCAAGAGCTCTTTGGGCTAGAAGCGTGAAATTGCACAGGTCCAATTTTTGGTTTATCTTTTTGTGTTTTTTATTTTTAATTCCACTTTAAAGTGGGGGACGGTGAGGCTCTGATACCATGTTAAGAACCTTGAAGTCACCACCCCAAAAGCTAGCTCAAAGGGTGAGAGTGTCCAAGGCCTTATAAAGGCCATATTAGTTGCCCACACAATCAATATGAGACTATATATCTCAACACCAACTAGAATGTATAGGTTATCTTTGTACAATATCCGACGAGTGTCTCCACCCACTCTATAGACTCTACCTCTCAACATCCATTTTCATAGCATTTTCAATTTATTTGTTTGTAGATTTTTTGGTTTGAAGTTTGAACTGTGCAGGTGGTGGTGTTTTATATTGTTGGGGATTGGCTATTATTGTTGCCTTGATTTCCTTACGGTCAAAGGTAAAGCGCATCAAATTGCTGAAATATGCTATAATGTTAACTTTATGATCAAGGGGATATTACCCCTAAAAGTCAATAGCATAAACGGAGTTCAAGGACTAGTCCATGAAATGTGTGAAAGAAGTAAAAAACATGCAAGGTACACGTCTTACAAGCCAAATCTTAGTGTACGACTGTATACATGCATACCGATTGCCCAAGGGAGTTTGGCCAAGCTACTTTTCTTACCAGACTTTCACCTGTTTCAAAATGCTGTTATAAGACACGCTACAAGGAAAAATGTCAGGTACATACAATACGGTTCTAGTTTTTCGAAATTATGTATGTAAAGAATTAATTCAATTCAAAAGTTTAAGTTGTTGAGTAAGATTATATTAATGGTTTTACGTATTTCTAACATGCTCCCTCACACGAGAGTCCATTGGACTTGAAGGGTTGATGATACATCAAACATTTCTAACACGCTCCTTCACACAAGAGTCCATTGGACTTGAAGGCCTGATGATGCATCAGGCCCAGCCTACTTGTTACTAAAAAACCTCACAAGACTTAATTAATTATTAATTAAATGGGACAGTGAGGATCAAATCCGTAATATTAAAGCTCTAATACCATATAAAAAATCAATTCAATCTAAAAACATCAGGTCCAGTCTACTTGTGTTAAGAAACTTCACAAAATTTAATTAATTATTAATTAAATGAGTGACAGTGAGATCGAACTTGTGACATTAAAGTTATGATACTATATAAAGAATCAATCCAATTCAAAAGCTTAAATTATTAGATGAAACTATATTTATAGTTTTATATATCTCTAACAATATACCTTATTGTCCTTTACTTATAATTTTATTTCCATTATATATGCCACATTCCTTGTAGTGAAATCATGTTCCATTAACACAATTGATTAACAGACACCCTTTTATCCGTATCGCCTCCAATATGTTTGATATCTTGGCTGGGTATATGGGCACAATATTTCTTACGATGACTTAGAGCAAATTCTTTCTTTTAAATTGGCTTTTGAAATTGAGTTACACCTAAACTATTTTTAATTATAATTTAGTATCCTAGCTTGTCTGAATCTAAACATTGGACCACCAGCAAATGTTTAATACAGACAAAGTACCCTTCTAATAACTTAAGTAATCGCCTTCTTGAGCCCACATTAATTAAGTGTATGTACAAAATTTTTTTATAATAACTTCAGTATTTTCCTGTTCTTAAGTTAAATTTTGAGATCAATTAAGCGGAGTTTATTTTCAATTCCAATAAAATGGATATGGGTGGTCTACATCAGTCTCGGTCTTGCACTTGACTTAGAAGACATGTTTTAGACATTTTGAACAAATCCATGAAGACCAACCATCTAAACAAATAAAAATGGAGCTAATTCTCGCCGTGACCAACGGTCAATTGGCCATGGACACTCCTTTTTTTATTTTTATTTTTTGTATTTCGATATATTTCAATTAGTTCATCGCTTCACGACTAATTCGATTCGAGGCGGATTCCGAGATTAAAGCTTTAAACCGCTGCCAAAGACAATACTCGAAAAGGTAGAATACATGCTCTCGTCTCGACTGCTTAATTCACGCCAACTGAACTATCATCGATTGATATTTACACTCTTTTTTTAGTTTGTTAATTATGTGTACCAAACTATCGATGATCACGTGATGCAACACCGACCAGTCTCGATCTCCCTGTGATGATAATGACATATAAGAATTTTTAAAATGTTTGCATTCACGGACTCACCGATTCTATGTATCTGTGCTTCATAGAATAAATAAGTTGCCAACAAATCTGACTAAACGGAACTTTTATCGCAGGAGGACTTAAACATTTATACAAGTCAATGAGTTTGCACACTTACTGTGTTCAACTTATAGCTTTATATTTCGCAAAGCTTTCATTGTGGATTATTTGATTCGTACTCCTTTTTTTTTTTATGTTAGTTGTTTTGACAAAAAAAATCTTTTTTTTAAAGAAAAAATAAGAAGACAAAATATTTTTAAATTTTTCTTTTTATGTATTAAATAACTAGTATTTTAAAGTAAAGGAAGTATTTACGAAGGATTAATTATGTTGAAAATCAATCACACTAATGCTGTTGTTATTTGGATTGTGAGCTGGAAATACAACCCTCTTATTTGGCCCTTGAATTTATGGATTTTTGTTTTTATTTTATACCATTAAATGTGCAATTCATTGCCTATAATATTAAAAATATAATTAAACAGTGAGAAGCTACCTAACTAACGTGATACAAATTTAATAATACAATATAAAAATTTCTTTCACTCAAAAAAATATACGAATTTAAGTCAGTTCCACATAGCTAATACACTTGATCAATGGTCATGATTCATAAAGCTATGAAGTTAAAAAGAGAACAAATTGCCCTTCACCAAAAAAAAAAGAAAAAAAGAGAGAGAACAAATCCTTATTATACAAAAAGATAAAGAAAACCAAACAAAGAAGCTACAGAATGGCCTTTGGAATAAGGGATGATATTGATATGTGTCAGATCCAGTTCGAACTTTCCTGTTAACAGGCATAGGAAAACCCAGCGAAGTACGGACACACACATTTTCTTAATGGGTTTTATTAATCTTCTTTTACATAAGATAATTATCTTATGTTATAGAGAGAAAATAGGTGGGTCCCATCATTGTAAGAAAAAAGAAAAAGGTGGGGTGTGGAAATCGAAGTGAGAGAAAATGAGATAAGATGTCTCATGTGAAATGAGAGTAATATTTCCTTTTTTTAAAAATGCACCGATAGCTCCAATACACAATTTTGACATACGGTAGATATCTTGGGACACGCAGTCAACTATTCGATATGTTTCGACTGAAATTATTTCCCTGGTCCCTCTCTCTCTCCCCCTTCTTCCCCTCTCTCCTCTCTCCTCTCTCCTCTCTCACAAAGGGTGCATTGGGCCTGGACCTCTAAATATTTGCTCTGTTTCGACATATTTTTGTGATACACAGTTAATTTTTTTCAGATACACGATTAACGTTCCGACACGCATACCATATGATTTTTTAGGTCTTAATTTTATTTTATTAGCTAAACATAAAAAAAAATTATAAATTAATTTTTTTATGTTATGAAAATTGACATGAAAAATTAATAAGGTATCAAAAATTATTTTTGTTTATATTTATGTTATGAAATTTAAATATTTGATTGATTACATAACTTATTATGGACTGTTATATGTATTAAATATAGGAAAAACACTTTCTCCTTTAATAGAAGAATTGTTTTCTCATGTTAGTGAGAGATTGTTTTGCGTGCAATATTTTTTTCATTTTTTATTTTTTGTTTATGGTGGGACCCATTTGAATTATATATGTGTAAGAATTTTTCTAACCTCATGTTAAATGAGAAATGCAAAGTCCTTAAATATAAATTATATTATATAAATTAAAAATATTATTTAATATCAAAACGTGTCCCAACATGTAAGATAGGATAATTTTTAGAATTAATGTGTCGACGTATCGTATCGTCGTGTCGTGTCTTATGTCCCGTGTTAGTGTCGGCGGAACATAGGGAATACCTACCAAAAATAAGTAAATAAACACACAAAATATTGCCAACTATACGGGACATCATAACACGCAGTGGAAAACAGAACACCAGGAGGGAAAAAAACGGTGGATTTTAATTTTGACAATACAAGAACTAAGGAAGGGAGAAATTGAAAGCTGCTAGCTTTTGGCACGTTCTGCAACCTGCAATTATTCCTTAACTTTTGCAAGAACTTTGTTATTTGCGTATCAGTATTTTTAATCATTTTTAAATTTTTTATTATAAAAATAAATATAAAAAGTGTATGTTAATTAAATATTTTATTATTTTAATATTAAAAATAGAATATAAAAATTATATCAAAAGTAATTTGTGAATTAGTTTTGCAACATGACCCATGCATGTATCATTAAATTGTTGCTTTCGGATGGCAGATTTCTATTTATGGTCTATCCATTTAAAATATGTCACCGCCTAAATGGGAAATAAATATTCAAATAAAAGTAGCTTGAAAAGTGTGTTAAAAGCACTTTTGCGTTGGAAAAAAAATCTTAAGAATCATGGACACGAGGTTGGTTAAAATTGGTCGTGTATAGGGCTCTCAAAAATAATTTAATCTAAACAAATCTTTCGTATATATACTTTTTCTATTGATATAAAAAAAATGTAATTTTACGATTA